TGTGTGTGTGTGTGTGTGTGTGTGTGTGTGATGTCCCTTTACTACTCAACCATAGAAAGTGTGATCAATTTCTGTATGACAGCATGAGCCGAGAACAAAGCAACAAGATAGAGAAAATTAAATCGATGTGTACGGAAAGAATGCACAATTTCAGCATCTACATTTCTCTACTTCGATGAAATATACATAATTGCTTGCACTAAAAAATAAGATAAATTTAATCTCTTTGGACAATAAACATTCCTTGCTCCCTCAAATAAAAATATCAATCAGAAGTAAAAGACCCAGGCTTCTGATCTGTGACAAAGACAGATACAGAAGGTCATTCTCACCATCATCTATTAAACTTCTATCGTGGGTGGTTGGCGTGTGCTCTGGTGTGGTTTGTTCCTTCTTTCCTATCAAAGATCTACCGTCCTGATCTCTCCTACTTCTTATCTGTGTTTATTACTCTCTTTAACACCTCTAATCTTCGGCACTTACACTTATATGACCTTATTGTGTTGCATGTGCCGTGAATCTCTTAACAAAAAAACAACAACAAAAAACAATTTCTGCCATCTTAACCATCTTGTAAAATGTATGTAGATCTATTCCTAAGACTTTTAAAGCATGCACCTGACAAGAAAGTCAATAAAAGCAAATGAAGCAAATTATTAAAAAGCTAACATTGAAGGCGAAATGTACTTACGTGACCTACAGTAGGCCCAAGCCGATTGAATGCTCATCTTATGCTGTATGTGGGATATCGTGTGTGCTGGGGAGGGAGGGAGAAAGCTGGACGCACTTTCTTCTTAGTGTTTTACGGCGCTTGCAACTGTTTAAGGTCAATTGACACACTAAACATTTTTTTCATTTAGTAGGAGATTTCGAATTTTGCCCGGGTGGCGTCCGAGGCCTACTCTCATCAATTTTGGATCACCAAGGAATCTTTAACGTGCGCAACTTGCAAACGAGACCTCCGAGATATTTCGCCCTTATCCGAGAAGGCTGGGTGTTAAATCTTACCTACAGCAAGATCAGGAGTGTGGCTGAAAGACTACAGCAAGAAGGAGCTAAGGAATAGCAGAAGAAAAGCTGCAGAAAGAGTCAGGAGCCAAGAGGAGATGGGAAAGGGGGTGAGGGGTGGAGACGAAAGCAGACGACAGAACATTGTGAGAGAGCAGGAAAGGAGGTGAGAGGAGATAATTTTAGAGAAGAACATTTTCCGTCGAACCCGGACCTACTGAATGAGAGGCAAACACCATCTAGACCACGAGAGTCCCCGGACGCACTTTGATGCAAGTCCAGTTAGTGACATACATGTATATAGGATGAGCTTGGTCTGGCACACCGGTCGTCACATTGTCACCTCGTTGCTTGGCGAGACTGAAGTGATTAGATCATTTAATGAAATGTAGGCACTGGACCTTAGATCTACTGCAGGTCTTTGTCATGTGTGCTCCTTTTCCAAAATTTAGTTACTAATTTGTTCCATTAGAGCATGAATAGGTGGTATAAAACACAAAGTGTTAATGTTAATAATACTGCGCATCTCTAATTATTATCTGGATCTAGTCAATTTCCTTGAGACGAGGATACTAGTAAAAGGAAAATAAAGGAAGAGGAGAAAACTAAAACTGGAAAAGCAAACAGCAATAACTGATAATTTGATACTGAACAATCTATAATAATAATATTATAATAAGCATGATCCCATTGGTTACTTACCATTATAGACCAGAAGTAGGTATGTAAACGTGATCCCCGTGAACAACATATAACAGGGACATCACATCGGCCCCGGCGGCCCGGCAGCCCTGAGACCGGGGACTACCGTAGCTACTACATGTATGTAGATCTAGTTATTCTTCTATAACGTGTTGACTTTCGCTTAACCGCGGTTAAAACACGATACAATGAAATCGCTCACTTCAATCTCCTCAGATCTCTGCATACGGATCTAAAAGTTGGATGACCAACATATTCTTAGAGCCCATTCACAAAGGTCACGGCAAACTAAGGTTCTGACACGTTTTCTTTGATGTAAGCCTAAAGCGGGTAAAAAAATAATAGAGGATTTACAGCATACACCTAAAACATTTAGAAGTTGACACATTTTCCTCAACACTTTGACGATCGTCCAAAAAAACGCTATTCAAGAGACGGGGTGAGTAATTTTTGAGACTCACGTAGAGACGTTTGAACAGCCGAGGAATGAAATCTACAAGTTTACACTGAACTGAAACATTGGGGCAGGGTGGTGGTGTTGTCTCAAGATGGGCAATCTGTAGGTAAGGTTACAGTAAAGTGCCCCATACACGCTCAAATTTGTTTGATGGTTCTATCCAAATGTGTTTGACACAATTTTTTAAATAGGTTTTTGATCGTGTATGGGTGTGTTTGCTGGTCAAAATAATTTGATGTCAAATATTTGACAGATCTGTTTTCAGTTATTTTTTGTCAAACCGTCAAACTTTTTGATCGTGTGTGGGCTTCATCAAATTTTTTTGTGCAAACATTATTTTTTCAGTTGCTGTCGGGTAGAAAAGATTTACTTTTTACATCATCATGGCGCCATCAAAGAATGGAAAAAAAATATTCTGGAACTGATTAAAGTGTACCAGAGTTTGCCTAAACTATGGAAAGTAAAGAATATTATGTGACCGAGATTTATCTTTTTAAAAGCTGCCTATGACACTCTGCTGCTGAAATACAGGGAGTGGTATGCGGATGCCAAAAAAGAAGAAATAAAAAAGAAAATAACTCAATACGGACGAGTTTTCGAAGGAGTTGAAGATATTGGATGATTCTCAAAAGTTTGGGGGCCGGTGCAGATGATATCTACGAGCCTTCATTGGTTTTTTTAAAAAGTTCTTTTTATTCCTGTGGTCAAGAAACACCGGCAAGGTCACTGTCTTTTCTTTTTTTCTTTTCTTCGCGAGGCCTAAGCAAGAGCCAACGCTGCTGGTCCGTCCATTTCAAACTCTTGGCACAAACTAATTGACCCAAAAATTGAGCGTGTCGGGAAAACGTCAAACTGTAAAAACAAAATTGATAAAAAATGTTTGACAAACACATTTGAGCGTATATGGGGCACTTATGTCATATATTTTAGTTATCCCGTATATGCATCCAAGCGGTTTTTAATATAGGGCGCAAAGAGAAAAAAATGTTTTTACAGTATTACAGGATCAAGATTTTTTTTAAAAATCGTTTTTATTTGGTCGCTGGCCTGCAGAAGTTGCTTGCAACGCTTTGTGGGCACAGGTAAATTAATCAATTAGCTAGATCTAGATTTTTTAATTTTTAATTTTTTTTGGGAATGCGGACAGACGAAAGTTCATTGAGGCGCAGAGTGACGCACCCTCGTCACTGACCTAGATTCTCCGACAGTGTGCAATGGGCCGAAGAAGGATTGTGTCATCTTGGTATTTACGGTCCCTGACCCAGGTACTGACATGTGTTATTTAACGGCCCGCTTGGAAATACATACCAGAGGCCGGAACGAAACTTTAGCCTCTCAAAGGTGGCATTAAAGTGGGAGTTGGCTATTAAAAAGAAAGGTTGACAAGCACAGAGTTAATTTAATCTCTAGATATCGGAACGATAGCCTAGGGCGGTTGCTCTCAGATTTTCGGTTATTTTACCTAAGTGACACAATCATTCAGGATGTGTAGGATACTTGTACCTGGTGTACACCTCAGCTACTCTATACGAGGCCTAAGCGTGGAAGTGGAAGGGGTCCGGGTTGGAGATGGGAAGTAACGAAGAAAGTTTTGAGTCATAAAACATGAACACACATACACATGAACACACACATACACACACACACACACACACACACACACACACACACACACACACACACACATGCGCGCGCACACCTTTAGACATACCGTATTGACCTCTACTAATGTGTTAAGTGAACAGGTAAGAAAAATACTAGACTCTAGAATTTAGATCTAGGTCCAAGAGGTGTGCAAACATTTTTCGAACTTACGCTCTTGGCGTCGTTGACTGAGTGTCCATATCTAGGTCAGATTTCTATTTTTGTCAACGTTGAGCGTCTAGCCAATCCTTTCATCATTCAAGTTAAGTGGGTAGGGCCTACACCGTAACAGGATATAATATATTATAGCCTGGGACGTCCTGTCACACAAACATGTGTGGTCTTTTAGCCTGCTTTCTTTTTCAGTGAGAGTGGCTACGGAAGTGCAAAAATGTTCTGTACAGTTGTCTAAAGGAATGTCGTATCTCATGTGTTGTCTTGTAACCTGCTTTCTTTTCAGTGAAAGTGGCTACGGGACTGCTATTTAATCTGTACAGTTGCCTAAAGGAAGGACGTGGTTGGACCAATTGCGAGAACTAAATCGGGATTAGATCTACAAGACAAATCCCCAGCCACTTAGAAGTTGCGAGAGTGCCAACAAAGCTGTAGCCTACTGTAGACTAATCATGTATACCGACTGCACAGGGCAGAACAAGGCAACCTTCCTCCTGCATTCAATCTCAGCCGTCTCAACAGAGATTGCTTAAAATAGAATCGATCTTTTTCTTCCTTGCAAGTGCTGAGTATTCGAGCTAGGAATGTTAGTGTTGTTCATTATAGCGAAATTGAGGGAAAACAACAACAAAGGAACAAAATGTAAACACGGAAGTTTTACATTTTAGGCGCTGGATCTTTTCTGGTTCTAGATCTAGATTCTAGATCTGTGTGTTGTAAAATTTATGTTCTAACAGTCCTCATCACATCAGCGGAGAACGAAACAGAGAAATGAATATAGTACATTATTATCGCACAGCCTCAATACAGTTGTGAAAAAAGGAGACCTCGGTTGCCACTGTCAAACAAAAACTTTGTTATTCAAGTTGTGAGTAATTTCAGTTGAAACCCCAGGAGTGCCTGAAGAGTTTACACCAGTCATGGAAAGTTCCCCCAGAATCGACCAGCAGATTCCGTATGACAATTCCGGTGAGTTAAATAGCATACCAGTCCAAGAGAATGAAGCAGCTGATGTTGTTGCTGCCATGGAGAATTCGCCCAGAGTCGACCTGCAGAATCCGTATGAGAATTCCAGTGAGTTAAATAACACAGGAGTGTATGAGAATGAAGCATTTGATAATGCTACTGCCTCGGAAATTTCGCCTAGAGTCGACCTGCAGGTGCAGTACGATAATTCCAGTGAGCTAAATAACATAGGAGTGCATGAGAATGAAGCATTTGAAGCTGATGCTGCCACCGGAAGTTCGCCGGCTGTCGATGAACAGACTATCCAGATTCAGTGCGAGGACTCCAGTACCGGTAATTTGTATAACACACCAGATGAGCAGGAAACAGCTGATGTCGTTGCTGCTACCGAAAGTTCCGCTCCTGTCGACTCACCACAGACTTTCCAGATTCAGTGCGATGACACGAGTAAGTTAAGATTTTCATACTCTTGGCGAATTTAATTCGTATTCAATTTCCACGAGATTTCGTGTGTTTAAGTTGTTTGTTTACTTCATATTCCCAACAAAGGATTAAGTTGTCTTTTTGTTTGAGCTTTTCGTCAGTTTTTCCATCGTGTTTAATACCCAGTAGTGACCAATATAATGACAGCGTGAGATTTTTTGGCACCAACATAATGCAAGTGATAGGTACGTGAAAAGAATGTCAATTGATAGTCCCGGTGTCTGTCTGTTGCAGAGATAGAAAATAAGCGAGAGAAAGATATATATTTTTTTAAAGTGAAATAGTATGGGTTTAACACCCGTATCAACACTATTAGGTTATTTAAAAGGCGTGACCTCCTAGTTTAACGTCAATCCCCGAAACGGTCTAGCCAAATGGGAAATCCGTGTAAAGTGCCTTTCCCAAAGACACAACGTCGGACCGAGCGGAGTCTCGAACCCCCGAACCCGCAATCTCACGATTATGGGCCCGACAGTCTAACCACTAGGCTAACGACGAAATTAGAGAGAGAGAGAGAGAGAGAGAGAGAGAGAGAGAGAGAGAGAGAGAGAGAAAGAAAGAAAAGGAGGTTGGGATTTCTAAATGGGTCCGTGTATATTTGTGTGCGCGCCCGCGCGCGCGCGTGTGCGTACTGAGGCTGTCATAGATATCCAAGGTGCGAACGCATCCGTCTCGACCAGGACCGAGTTTAAAAACACCAGGTAATAGGCTTTATTCTTTACTTCTTTTCAGATGGGAAGAAATATTATTCAACAGACGAGGTGATTCCTGGAAAATCACAGAAGGTGACTTCAACGAGATGGTTAGTGATCGCCGCAGTAGCTGGCGGGGCCATCTTGGTGGTCATCCTTGCTATCGGACTGTCCTTAGGATGTAAGTGAACACTGCCACATTCAGTAACCCCCCC